AGGGGGCCAAATGTCATCTTTTTCAAAGAAGAGGGACTTGTTTTGCCAACAATACATGTCCGTTTGGAGAGAACGACCCCACAACCAAAAAACTCGTGATTCGGTATGATTTCGTCAACTAATAAGCCAAAACTCTTCCATAAAAATGCAGAGCACTTGTTTAGGATCATTTTCGTTCAAATAGTTTAAAAAATAAGCAAATATTGTGAGAAATTTGAGTTTGAAGTTCGAGTTGAAAATCTCAGTTTTTCACCGATTTTGGGTGAGATTCTTAACCAAATCTCTTGATTTTTATGTCTATGGCTTCGTTTTTAAATGCTCCTTCAAACCCCTAGTAACCTCATATCTAATATTCGGGTTTATATGGTTTGATTTTAATGTTTTCAAGTTGTGGAGTTTTAGTTTTAAAAACAAAACTTTAAACCAAATTTTGGAACTCATTTATTGATGAAAATTTATGTAGTTTATGCCAAAATGTTGGTAACATTGTTACCAAGAGATTAATGGAAAAAGAACAAATAAAGAAGAGGTAAAAACAAGTGAAAATGGAGCTCAAAATGGCCAAAAACGTGCATCCCACGACTGCTGGGTTTTCGGGTTGCAATCGGGTTAAGAGGATGATCCGCGTATGTTGTGGTGGGTTATGATTGGGTCGGGTTGGGTCAAGAATCTAACCCGCATCCGTTTTACCCATTTAAAAGGAAGGGAATCAATGGTGCTGAAAGCAGGATTCGTACCCATGACCTCAACCATCTAAAACAGGGACTCTAAGACTACATTTATCAACAAACATTCACAAACTGATTACAAATAAAGACAAAATTCATTTATTTAAAAAAAAAAAACAAAAACTATTGACGCAAACCGTTTGCTCCAGCAAACTTGGTTGGAGGAGTATAATATTATTAAATATAATTTTTTAGATAATAAATATATATAGGTGTCATAATTTTATTGGTTGGTTTAGATTTTATTAGGATAAACCTTATCTGATTAAACATATAACTTTAATAAAAAAATAAAAAATATACCAAAATTCAAAATTTTCAATTCCCTACAAATAGAGACCAGTATTGACATATTTTCAACACACCAATCTTTCTCTTCATTTCAATACTCTCATCATCTTGAAAATCCCAAAGATCTTATTTTTTTAAGTTTCCTATATGGATCCAAACCAGCAAATTTTTTGTTTAACTCTCAATATATCCCTGAAAATGTTTAAACCTCGCAAAAAGCCTCAAGAGTCGACTATCCATGAGAGACTAAAGAAGATATGGCTTTAATGTCAGCATGGGTTTTTGTTAGCGAAGACGCTACTCGTGGCAGAAACCAAAAGAAAAGAGCGCTTTTTTCATGAGTGAAAAAAAAATACTATGATGCAAGTCGAGAAGAAAATCCATAAGGAATGCGCATCAGGATGAAATCAAATGAAAGGTCGTTGGACTCAATTTAACGAAAATGCAAACAAATGGATTGTTGCTTACAATGAAGCATATAGTCAAAAAAAGTGGAATGAGTATGGCAAATGTTGAGAAAGGAGCTCATACAATTTATGAGGCGGGAGGAAAAAGTTTTCGGACTTGCTTGTATTTAACGAAGTTATGTGTAAACATCCCAATTGGGAATTACAGTTAGATCGTGACACATCACATTCTCGTTCGGAATATGAAGTGGGTGATGAAAAAAGTGGTGGAAGCACGAAAAGATCAAAAACTAAGGAAGAAGAAACTGACCAAGAATCTCCAACTGATGGTGGTTCAACAATTCAGCGTCCTACAAGTAGATATGTGGCAAAAAAGAAAGGAAAAGGTAAGGATCACAATCTTCTTCATTTTCTAATTATTTTTCTGCAGAACTTCGTGCAATGACTATAATATCCGTGTTCCGTTAACTCGTACAAATTGAGTTAAGTGAATTTTTAGTAGAATTATGCAGAACCAATTTGTACCCTAGACTAGTTTTACGTCAAAATGTGTTTATACCTATATTGACGTAAAGTTGAGAATTTAACTTGAAGGGTAAAAACCGTCAAATAATTAAACTATATATATATATATATATATATATGCGGTTGTGTTTTAAAAAAATAAAAAAAAATATATAATATATATATATATGATGGCGGTTTCACCGCCTCTCTCTCAATTATCTCTCTCTCTAAAATTCTCTGTCGTCTTCTCTCTAGATTTTACATCAATTTAGTAAGGGGATCGAAGTAACAATTATATATTCGGAATCCACTCTCCGAACCCTTCTTAAAGGTATAAGTTTCATTCAGTTTCATTAAGATGTTTATGTTAGGGTTATTTAGACCGGTTTATAAACTGTRTTTATATCTAAGTTTACGGATTGATATTGTCAAAATCATGATATATTTGATGTTTAGAATGCTAGAACTGGTTATATTGATGTAGAAATAAAAAGGATATATTATAGTTTCATTATGGTTAGATTGTGGGTATATGTTTAACCGTACACCAATTGTTCGGTTAAATGTCGAAAGGAGTAACAATGGATGATTAAGATTAGGTTAACGACCATTGGACTTGTTTTACTATTTAGCATGTTAAAATATGTTTACAGCATGTAAATGTAGCGAATCACGGAAGTTGGATCATAAAAGTTAGTCGGGAATTACGAGATCGAATTTTACCGACAATGTAACTCCCGTACTTTGATAGTGTATAACTCACAAACCGTAAGTCGGAATAAGCTCGTATTTTGCAGTCAGGCAGATCATACTGCATACTACAACTTTCATTAAGAGTCAAAATTCTAGTTATGAATCTAGGTAGCTCGAAACAGTGTGTTTTTGGGGCTGTTTACACTGTATTCGGTATTAATTTGCAGTTTTGTAAAATTCATATAAAATAGATGGATAATCCAAATGAGGTGATTTCAAAGGAAACAGACTCGTATGATATCAATCTACAACTTTCGTTTAGACAATATAATCTGGATTGATCTCTAAGTAAGATAAAAATGCTTAGAAATAAGAGGGTCGGAAACGGTTGGATCGAAAGAGAATAAGGTTAAGTTTTACGTTTGAATTTTCAATTCGTATCCAGCTGTCCTTCTTGAGGTCTACATTGTTTAAGTAGATTAAGACCTAAGTAATTTATTAGAATAGTTATATTATGGTTTCTATGCTTTATAAATAGTAACCGTTTATGCATTCGTTTGGCACGCGGGTAAATCAAACTTGATCGTCAATTTCCGTTTGATCGTGCGTTAATTGTCAAATTCGGTTAAGGTACGGATTCCATATCTCACTTGACACGGGGATAGCCATTTGCGTAAGGCT